CAGGTGTCATTTAAACATTTTTTTCACTGTAAATTATACATTAAATTATATATTTATAATTTTTTTTACTCCCAAAAACTGTATATTCAACACTATTTTACTGTAAAATTATTTAAACTGACTGGTTCATTTTGTTAAAGTATTTAACTGTATAACCATTTAACAGGTTTTTACTGTAGCATTTTACTATCTTTTACCATTAAATTTATGAGATTTTTTTTTTTACAATAGCAGAACTTATTTCCAATTAACAACAAATTTGACTTTGAGGACATTTACCTGTTGTTTTTCTATTGATTAGATACACACAGAGTCCAAAATTAGCACTGGCTAATGTGTTTTAAAAACGGACTTTGTTAATTAAATTAAATTTAACCAGTTTTACCTATTGAAACTACAATATTAATAGTTTAAATTGCAATGTAAGTATGACAGCGTGGCCTTCAATTCTCTAATAATAACTTTACCTCAGTGGAAAATTCATCACTAGAAGTTTTTCTTATTTTCCCTCCATTTCGCTCTTCTTTCTTTCCCAGTCCATGTCATTGTAGCGTGCAGGTTCTGTTGAAGTACGGGAAATGCATGTTGACCTAAGGGAGGGAGTCAGATGAGGTATGGTTCCAGATTCTTTGTAAACACTCTTATGAGGAGCAGCTCCTCCCGTGGCCTGGAAAGATAAGAGACCAACAGCAGCAAGCACTTGTTTTAAAACAGCCTTGATCAAAGAGATTACGAGCACTAACAGAGCTGAGAACTTAAACATTCTGGCTTTGAATGTGCAATTATCTCAGACATCATACATCAGTGAGCACCTGGGATGAAGCCTGCACACAGCCCACAACAAGATAGATCTCATGTTTTGAGGAAATGTCAAGCTTTATTGCTGCAGTAAAAATGGGAATCCTAGTCCTACAGTAGCTTTAATTTGTTAATTGTCAGTAAACTACCTGTTAGCATTCACATTTATGTCAACGGCAGTGGATGGCACATGCAGTCCGAGAAGTACATGGACTAGATGCTGACATCTTTGTTTTATGCTACTTTTTAGATTACTGTATGTTAACTGTACAGTTTAACAAATAACTAAAAATGATTCTTTAATCAATCTCATATCATTCAAAACCTGAATGACTTTTTCTTTATGACAAAGGGGAGAGTACAGAGCTCTGAACATGATATGCAGGGGAGGAAAACAAATTGTGTGCATGAATTAAGAATCCATTGCCATGACTTATTAATTTGTTCCCTCATTTTATATAGTGAAAAACTAGAAATCGTGGGCATGTTGTAATACTTAATTTCCTCATTTTAATTTAGTTAAATCGCAGCCATGAGAGAATAAATTAATAAATTCTTAATGTGTGGCCACAATTTAAATTTTTTCTGCATGCCAGCATGAGTAAATTAGGACTTTATCTTTATTTTTCAGTCACTTAAAAAAATCTCTTTAAAGCTCCTTCCATCAAATATGCCAAAGAATATCAATGTTAAAATTAATTAAAATTAACACTTATAGTAATAATGCTTGCATCTGTCTCTGTGTGACAGCAACACATCTGGGCACTGTTATCAAGACTATAAACATAGATGTGCTGTATAGCTTTTGAAGGACAGGTACAAGAGTGCACATTCCATAAACTTGACATGAACTTTAGCATCAGTAAGGAAGACAGAGGGTTGCTTTGACATACCTAGACCTCAGTATGCTCTGTTGGTTTTGCCCAAGAGAACTGGTCTGAGATGAGCTGTCCACAGCAGGAGTTTGAGACTAATAGCTGCTGGTGTCATTCTTCCAACAGTTTACAATTTATGACATCATCCCGGTCGGCATGTGCCACGCTGGGCTGTTTAAAGAATCAATCAAACCATCTGTCCTAAAGAATTAGACTAAGGTGCAAGAATGCAGACTAAACATGTCTTTCTCTTCACTTTTCTTTCTCTTTCGGACTCATGGACATGAGTGCTATACACTCTCTTTCACTCCTCCTCTTTTATTTCTGTCTTTTCTTTTATCCTTTTAGCAATCCAATTCATTTCCCCTGTGTATCCACTTAAAGCCACTTGTGTTTCTTTGAACTTCATTGGATTTCTGAAGGAAGATGGTTGCATAGTCACCACAAAACATTTAAAATTTGCACCAGCCATTGAAATGCCACTTTCAATTGGATGTGTTGAGCTGGCCGGGCTTAATATGCTATCAAATGAGATGTCGAGAGCCTTTAGTGTGACAAATTTGAATGAGGCTGTTTTCTCCCTTGGGGAACCGATGAACTGAGAGGCCTCGGTTATGGATGGGATGAACTGGTCCACTGAAGGTGGAAGAATGCGGCTGTGTGACATATTAGTGCTTGGTAATTATCCATTGAAATGGATGAATAAGTCCGCTGGCAGTGGTTCAGCTCCGTCATCGACAGAAAAGCACCATGTGAGTAAATGTTTTGCCAGACTCTAGCCGCAGGAGAATAATTGAGACAATGAAGAGCTCATCATGTTCAAATTGCCATTGTTATCTTTGGCGTTTTTTTGTACCAGCTTCTTTATGCCTTTATGCTGAAGTCGTCTGCAAGCTACAGATTATTTTGTAAAACTGCTACAGTTGCACTTTTATTGCATTAAGTACTCATTTGTTTTCTTGAACATAGATGACCTTTACCATTTGAAACATCTTTAGCAAAAAAAAGCTGAAAGAACATTATTATATATACAGTACTTTTGTCATAAGTATGATGGTACTCTGTGGTCTGTGATGAATAAGTTGGGAGTCTAAGCAGTTAAAATGCAGCATGAATAAGATGTTTGTTTTCTCGCAGCACGTTCTATGTTTACATTCCGGTGAAGACTTTGGTGTGTAGATTACACAAATCAATTATGATGTGTAAATATCCACGGTTTGTGCATTTCCCTGAAAACTTGAGTGAACGCCAAATCACATAGTGTTCATCATGTTGGTCTTTGAAGTTCTGACCTACTACACTGTAAATATAATGTAGTTTTGATTCAGTAGGAAACTAAACCTTGTGTTGATTGTCTTCTAAATCAGTGGTTTTCAACTGGCTTTGCTTCAGAACTCAGATTTTAAATTGGACATCAAGTGGTGACAAAAATGTTCTTACACAATCTAACATTGAGTATACTGACATTGACATCAATGCCAAAGACCCAACTATATGCAGATATTATAATATATATTACATTTACATGTAAGCATTTTCCTAATTTGATGTTGCTTCTACCAAATAAAGATGAATTTATACCAAAATACTTGCATTTGGTTAGACATATGGCTTCTGAAATCAATAACTAAAGGAAATGTTTTCTCCATCCATCCATCCATCCAAATTGTTTCATTTTGCATTGTTTTTCCCCACTGTCCGTGACAGTCATTTTTTCCCTTGCGGTCTGTGATAAAAAACCTGTGGTCCATTTTTAGGCCACAGCCTACCAGAGAAAAATGGTTCTAAATTTACTATGTTTGATTATTTTTTATCGGTTATCATTCTAATCCAAAATTCACACATTTTGCTACTTACATGGTATTGAGACAGACGCCTATATTTTAGATATGGGGGTGTGGCGTCAGATTTCAGAGAAATGTTTACTCATGCTTTAAAAGTTAAGACTGCTCAGGGTTATTCTGGGCTCTTTATCTTGGGGCGCCTACAACCAATTTAGAAACCGCGAGGAGGAGGGCTGTTATGAGGATTACTGCACTGACTCATTGTCTCATAGTCAGTGTACTAAGAACTGTTCAGTCTTTATCTGCCAGCTAGGTTGCCATAGTAGGGGGTGAGAAAAAAGCTTGGGGGCTTTAATTGGAACTTGACCTTTGACCTCCTGTCTCCAAACACAGTTTTCTGCCTGTTGGGTTTCGGTTTGAGACCAGCTCTTTGTTTTTGTCTCACAATAGTTAGTTGGGTTCTGAGATGAGAAAGCTGGTCCAAGATCAGTGTAAATAGGATGCCTGTTCCAACATAGTGCTGTCTCCTCTGATGATGCAGCTCCTCCATCAGGCCAGTGCTAGATTTCAGTGTTTGTTTTTGTGAAAACAAGAGAGAGATGCTGTGAATTGCAGGCTTGTGTTTTTGATGGGAGCAGAGTTTCACAATGTTGCATTCCATGTGTTGTTTCACACATTTTTGGGAAGGCTGAAAAAGCTGTTATTAATATTCTTCTTTGGTGACTAGACTTTTAAACTTTTCTTAAGTTTTAAAGAGACAGATCTATCTATCTATCTATCTATCTGTCTATCTATCTGTCTATCTATCTGTCTATCTGTCTATCTGTCTGTCTGTCTGTCTGTCTGTCTGTCTGTCTGTCATGAAAACCAATTTATTTTCTATAAAACACAAAATGTAAGTTTTGCAAAATGTTCATGCTGCTTTTTCCATACAATAAAAGTGGATGATGTCAGCTTATGCAAAACTAATATAAAAGCATGACAACAAGCAATCCATGAGACCTGTGCACTGTATTCCAAATCTTCTGAAGCCATATATTAGTTTTATATGAGATATGATATTTTATATATTTATATGAAAACCAGGTGTTTTATTCTCTGAAAATACCTTAACAGCAATGGTCATGTATAAGGCAGAGTGCAGCATGGACTCTTCTTGTGTTCCACAGCATGAAGAAGGATAAGAATGGAAAGACATGAGAATATGAACTCTGCTTTCTTTTATGCAAACAAATGTACAGTATATAGTCAAAGTTCATCAGGTGGATGTGTCCATGTGTAGATTAAATGTGTGTGTGTGTGTATGTTACTGAAGGTTCAGTGTACTGGAGGCAGGGCTACTACACAAACATAGGGTCAGAAAGCTTGTAAAATGATCCTCAAGCACTGAGAACATCCTCTTTGCTGGGGTCCCGCTACGCTTCACTTTCCTTTTCACTCTCTCTCTCTCACACACACACGCACACACACACGTACGCACACGCATTCCTCTCCAGTCACTGTGAGGGGCAGGCTCAGAGCATGCTAGAAGCCCAGAGCAAAGTAATTCAGTCGCACGATCACACACAGAGGAAACATAGAAAGAGAGCGCCAGGGGAGGTCTGACAACACTCCAGACTACATCTTCATGGACGTTGTCTTGCTTTCTTCATAACTGCACAGCTGCATTTCACATGCACTTCTAGCAACAGTTTCTTAAGGCTTCAGTTTTTCCCCAGAAGACCAACTTGATATAAAGTGTCTTGTTAGCCGGTGACAGGATCAGTAATGACCTCCAGGCAACGGTCCAGTCCGGACGTGATCACCACGTGCCCCAGGCCATCTGTACATCTCTGCTCGTACTGATTCCACCTGACTTTGGACTGAAGGAACCGAGGGCACCCTCAAACGAACTTTGATATTTATGACCTCACCCTCCCCTCCAGCTCCTGCCATGTGGTGGGGTTGGTTCATGTGCCGCTGCTTGTCCCTGGCAGCGCTGCTGGTGGTAGCAGACTGCGGAGGGGCTGAGCAAAGAAGAGGAGCAGAAGAAGGACTCAGAAGCTCCACGGCGAAAGCTAACAGCAGCAGCGGTCGGAAATATCACCGGATCCAAAATGGACAGTGTAGCTACACTTTTATCCTTCCGGAGGCTGATGGAGGCGCTTGTCGAGACTTTAAAGCGGGCACGCCGTACAATGCCAATGCACTTCAGCGGGACGCACCTCAACCTGAAGCAGACTTCTCCAACCAAAAGATCCAGCAGCTGGAGAACGTCATGGAGAACTATACGCAGTGGTTACAAAAGGTGAGTTCTATTAAGTTGCACAACGGATGATCGCACAATTATCGCAATTTCTGTATACACAATTATGTAGTAGTTGTAGTTTGCGTAAGCTGAGAGGAGCGAATGAACAGCTGTTCTTCAGTAGAGCGGCTGAGAGGAAAGATAGGTGTTTTTAAAGTCTGAAATGCAAAGTTTGGTGAGTGAAAACTAAGGATGTGCATGTCAGAACTGCTTACGAGTCTAAAGCCGACAGGGATCAGCACTGTTCTTGACGCTGAGCACTTCGACTGTTCGGTTGTCATCTAAAACTGTTTAGACAACAGTGAAACATCTCAGATGTTTTTTCTTAACTGCGTTCTTGGCTGGTGTTCAGATGCCAGATTGTAAGGACGTGTTTTATGGTCACTGCACTATGAGTTTTGCAACAAGGCAGAGTACGCGCTTTACAATGACAGACCTGTCTTATTAAAAGCATTACGTTGGCCACTTTAGCTGTCAGAAACGTGATTTACATCAACACAGATCGTTCTGTTCAGCCGCTGTCTGCACTGCACAACGTAACCGCCTGGCAGGGGAGTCTCGCTCGAGCAGCGTCTGGCTGATTTTGCAGATGTTCAGGTGCACTCCACACGTTGTGCTGATGGCAGGTTGTCAGTCACCCAGATGGTAGTCGGGCGCGCTGTCTCTTTAATGAAAGGAAGTCAGGCAGACCCCCGGGAGTGCTTGAAGGAAGAGCAAGGAGGATCTATCGTTCTATTATGAGCTAAGCTTTAACTGTCCTGGCAGATATCAGCACGGCTTTCTAATGGTTTCTAAAAGCATCAGCTTGTTCCCCGTCCCTGTGCAATCCGCCCTAAATGATTGAGAGTTTGTTGTTTTTCGTAAACTTTAAGCAAAGTTGACAGAAATTAAAATTATGCAGCAGACAACAAAAAAAACATAAAATATTTGTTTTATTTGATTAAAACATATTTACTAAATTTCCAAAAATCTGAGAACAACCTAAAAAGTTGGCATTTGTTTAATTGAATTATTTTATTATATGTAATATATTTTAATGATTAAAAAATAAATAGAAGCATTTTCCATTAGTGGGCTCCGACAGTTGGACTTCACTGTATATAGATATTTATTTAAAAATATAGTGTCATTTGTTTAGATAGGTGCATGCATTTGTGTACCAATTTTATTCGCTCCTATATAAAAGAAAAGTGCTTGATCATTTAAATTACTACATAATTAAATTTTTATTTCACTCAGTCACCAAGTAATTAATGATAATTGCTTCTCAAACAGAAACCCCTACAGAAACAACCAAAGGGTTCTTGGCATTGATAACTCATCTAACATTGACTTTGTCACTTTCATTAGACAAACAAACCATATTTATCTAAAACACACTCTTATTTATCAGTATTGTGATCTTGGTGAGTAGTCTGAGATTAATTATTTGAATCTATCGGTTTATTTTCATAAAACATAACCTGAACTTTTAACATATATGATGGATTTCATGAAGAGTTTGGAATTAGTTGTCCTTAACAATGTCATTTAGATTTCTCAAACTCAAGTTTCTCTTTCTTTTTATTATCTCAAGTATAGTGTACACTGAATGTAAACAGGTTGGTTTCATGCTCGGTTCATTTTTGTTGAATAGACGTGATGAGTGTTACGTAATGATGGAATGGGTGGCCCCTGTCTGTTTTTTAAAAACAATCTAACGTGATGCTTTTAAGTAAAAGTCATGGCTGCAACATGAGCATCATTCTAATTGATCTAAAGGGTTCCTTCCAAATGGTGAAATCCCACTTGCTTTTCTCAGCATTTCCATTCTCGTCTTCATTTTGCAACGCCGTCCAACTTAATTATACTGATGGATATAAAACAGCTACAGATTAGTATTTGCAGACACTTGTAAGATCCTTTTTTAAAAGGAAAACAAAATCTCGCTTGGCTCCATTTTAGACAGAGTCGGCTGAAATAATATTGTGGTGCAATGGTTAAAAACAAAAGAATGAAAGAAAGAAAAATAAAAGCCTTTTACCAGGACATGCACGCTATCAAAAGACATACTACGTTTCAGTATGTCAGAGTTCATAAAAAAGCAATTTGGCAGTTCATGCAGTCTGAATTCTACACCAGTGAGTAAGTGGCTTATCATAAAACATAGTGAAAGGAGTATAAGCACATCTGCTAACATTAGTAATGTCACTTTTCCTCCTCACTGAGACTTTAAGCAGGAAAAAAACATACTGTACCTTACTCCGATTAGACGATGTTAATAGATCTTGACAGAGAAAGGTTGTCTTGTTCAGTAGCTCTACTTAAGGAATTAAGTCATATTTTTTGTATTTGAAATGTGACAGGATGGATAGCACAAGAAAGCTTGTTTTAGTGGAATGAGGCACAGGCCTAATTCAGGCTAATTGTGCTTAAGGCACATGAGGATGCAGTTAACATATTTCATCGGACAGCAGATGAAGTGTCCTGCACTGGTCTATCTGTCTTAATCAGTGTTGGGCAAGTTACTCTGAAAATGTAATCAAATGACTGATTACTGATTACTCGCTTTTAAAAGTAATCACGTTACTGTTCTGATTTAAAAGTAATCACTGTTACTGTTACTGTTCTCCATAACTATATTTTTATATAATCCTGATAAGAGTGTGGTTATGATTTGCAGAACTAAGGAGGATAAAATTATAAAATTTCCAGTTTTCAAGTTGTCTAATAGGAGTCTCACTGTGTGTGCTAAAGTAAAATACCTTGGACATTTCATCACTGAACGCATGACAGACGATGAGGATATTGAAAGGCAACGCCGTATGATGTATATGCAGGCGAATATACTTTTACGTAAGTTTAGTTTCTGTTCAGATGAGGTGAAGGTGTCACTTTTTAAAGCATATTGTACAACACTTTATACTGCTCATCTGTGGTTCAACTATAGAACATCTAGTTTACAGAAGCTGCAAGTAGCTTATAATGATGCAATGAGAATTTTACTAAAGAGGCCTAGATGGCATAGTGCAAGTGAAATGTTTGTGAGTGCAAGAGTAATCACTTTTAAAGAACTGTTACGAAATCTTATGCATAGATTTATCTGCCAGCTAAATGCTTAAAAAAATTAGATTATTGTGGGTCTATCAAATATAAGGGTTAGTACTACACGGTATCAGTCAAAGCTGTGGAGACATTGGTATAGTAATTAGTTACATTACTAGTTACGTTACTTTTTTTCTCTATGAAATTTGTAAAATCCCAGCATACACGCTCCCATTAAATATTTGTTATTAAAGCATCAACATTCACAGAGCACTGTTATTTTTAACTAAAGCAAGCAGCTGCTGCATGCATGGTTTGGCATGGCAGAATGCCAGCAAAGAGCGCTGCATTTATAATCTCTAAAAGACATCTGTTCATCGCAATCTCACAAATCACTGTTATAACACAATGAATATAAGCATAATTAGTCTTTCATAATGTCTACAATTCGTGTGTTATAATGAGAGGATTCATGAGCACGCAATTTCAGCACTGCATTGCTCAACGCTGCAAACACGTGTTATAGCCTAAATAGAAACTCTGCACTGCATACATTGCTCAACGCTGCAAACACATGTTACAGCCTAAATAGAAACTCTGCATACGCTTGCACCTGTTAATCGTTTATATTTTATATTAGTTCATGTTGCTTTTGTGCAATAGATGAATAACAATTTATTTGTTTAGATATTTTATGTTTAGATATTTTTTTGCGGGAGTTCCGTGAATCATTTTATTCTCCCGCATCCCACACACACACACGAGTGTCTACCCACCCGCACCAGCACTCGCTCATCTTGTCCCACGCCGCACTCTGTTGCGTCGGGTCTCGCGGGAGCAGGTCTCTAGTCCACAGGCACTTGACTCAACAGTGCGTGTGCAACATCCTTTTTACAATCTCTAGATTATAAAGCACTGCATTCTGTCAGCAATGTAATGCGGCAGTAACGTATAGAGACCTCGGCTTGTAACTATACTCTAATTACTACTTTGAAAATTATAACGCATTAAATTACTCTGTTACTAAAAAAGTAATCAAAAGTGAGCTGTGACTGTGGAGTAATTCGTAATACCACTCAAGCTGCAGGCTGATGAAAGACAGTGACTAGTCTGTTGTTGGAGGTGCGGAGGGGTCTGTGTGGGGTCGATATACGTTCACTGTGGAATTCTGCTGTGCCGGGGGAAGAGCGTATCCCGATAACATTCTTGTCCAGTCAAAGGTGGCTTCTGTTTGTCCAAGGATTATCCCAGAAGCAGGAATGGTCCAAAGAGGGAGACTTTTGTGGATTGACTGTGGTCTTTTATCATTTGTTACAGGAAACGGACCACTTGAGGATGTAGCTAGCTAGCCTCTGCTAATCTCAAATGCTTAAACTATCAGCTGTTTAATGAAGGGATGCTTTTAAACATGAGAGCAGGGCAAAGAAAGGTATTATCCAGTTCCTTGGATATCTAATCACAATTTTAAATTGATAGTTCATCATTTACTCAACCTCATGTCGTTCCAATCCCACGACTTAATTTTTTTCTGTGGAACACAATGTCCTGACTGTTTGTTTTCATATAATCAAAGTGAAATGGATCCATTTTTTAAAAGAAATTAATACTTTTATTCAGCAAAGATGCACTAGATTTATGAACAGTAAGACATTTATAATGTTACAAAAGTTTCTTATTTCAAATAAATGCTGTTCTTTTGAACATTTTCTGTTAATCAAAAAATCTTGAAAATATGTATCACAGGCTTCACAAAAATATTAAGCAACACAGCTGGCTTCAACATTTATAATGATAAGAAATGTTTCTTAAGCATTAAATCAGCATATTACAATGATTTCTGAAGGATCATGTGACTCTGAATTAATGGCTGCTAAAAATTCAGCTTTGCCGTCACAGGAATAAATTACATTTTAAGATAATTTATATTATAATTATATATATATATATATATATGTATATATATATATATATATACT